AGTCACCTGCACCGCATTCAAAAGCAGGGTCTTATATAACGGGGGGCGTTCGTGGTATTGCTCTGAAAGGAGATGGGTGAAATTCAACTTACAATACTTTGTGGTGAGCATATTACTCCAAGGTAACAATAGTGACCCCTGCAGTAGTATTACACATTAATTACACTGATGGTATAGCGCCGAGACCTCGGTGGCTGGACACTCAGATAAAATTAAATAAAAATCACTTTCACAGTCAAACTTTATTATTTCATGTCTGTTTTGAAGTCCTGTCACGGGCCGGATTTTACAGTTTGGGGGCTAGATTTGGCCCGCGGGCCACCATTTGATGATCATTGTTGTAAGCGGGAACTATTAGAGTCAACTATAGTCAATTGTCTGCTTCAAAGCTGGGCTCTAATGTGTTAACACATCAAATAATGCATGCTGATTTATTTTTTTTATTGTCGATTAATGCTTTTTTTTTTTAAGTGTGTGTTATTTTGTGAATACACAGAGTGTGACCATGGGTCACAGGAGTGGCAGCTGTTGATCTGTACTGATCTGAGACGGGTGTCAATCTTGGTTTCAATCAGAGCATTTTGGATGGGGGCGGGTTATGACTACTACAGTGTTCACATGAACAGACAGAAAACTGGATAAAAACACCAAAACCTTTAAGAACATTTTCAATGTAAGTCTCTTCCAGAAGGAGATAAAGAAATCAAATTTCTTCTATAAACTACTAGTACTAATAACTCTGTGGTCGAAATATCACTACACATCATAGATTGTAGAGGGCTGAGACAAATACAACTAGACCATCAACAAAGTCAGTATTGACCATACAACAATAACAAACAGGGTGAATATCCAAAATATTCAGGCTGGGTGAGGTGGACATGACGAGTACACTACACCCTGTACTGCAGGATTATTTCCACATACTTCTCTCTGCTGGCAGAGGCCCATCCAGTTTGACACAGTCAAGGTTGCAGTCATTTCATTTCAGCAAACATTTCTCTCTGCTTTTCTGTCAAACTAAATTCTTCTAAAGTAAAATCCAGACTCTGCGAGTCATGTCGGTGTCAAGAGTCTGTTGTTTGCATTGCTAGCTTTGCATGCACGCCAATATTTTTGATGTCACCACAATAGACAATATTACACGCCATAAAGGTCTGACGACATGACTCATCAAGCCCCAGCTAAATTTCTACAAATGAACTACTCTGTTATCGGTATAGCCTTGGTTTAATCATACAGTGTTATGTTTCTCTTTTGCCAATACAGAGTTTATATAACTACTGACACTGACGAACTGGACGATCCCTGTTTCAATTAGTCCAGTCTATTCAGAAGTGTACAGTTTTACCATTTTAAACTCAAATGAGACAAGAGACACAACTATTATCAGAAATATATTAAAACAATGACACTTTTGTCATTGTCATTTCACTTTGTTGAAAAGGTTGATCACAATAAATCCCTCCAGGGTCTTGAAACTTTTTCTCTGTACATGATACAACCTCCTTTGATGCAGTGGTGAACTGTACCATAACATAATTTACTAACGTAGAGCTAGACATACCAGATATTCAATACCATGTTTTTTTATAGCTCTGCATTAAAGCTTCAAGGTGATGCATTCAGCAGCAGCTTCTGTCCTGGCTGTGTGCTGAGGCTACTCTGGCTAAACTAAACAACAACCCATTATTCCAGGGAATTTTTTTTTTTAAGTGTGTGTTATTTTGTGAATACACAGATTTTTTTAAAAAGTGTGTGTTATTTTGTGAATACACAGAGTGTGACCATGGGTCACAGGAGTGGCAGCTGTTGATCTGTACTGATCTGAGACGGGTGTCAATCTTGGTTTCAATCAGAGCATTTTGGATGGGGGCGGGTTATGACTACTACAGTGTTCACATGAACAGACAGAAAACTGGATAAAAACACCAAAACCTTTAAGAACATTTTCAATGTAAGTCTCTTCCAGAAGGAGATAAAGAAATCAAATTTCTTCTATAAACTACTAGTACTAATAACTCTGTGGTCGAAATATCACTACACATCATAGATTGTAGAGGGCTGAGACAAATACAACTAGACCATCAACAAAGTCAGTATTGACCATACAACAATAACAAACAGGGTGAATATCCAAAATATTCAGGCTGGGTGAGGTGGACATGACGAGTACACTACACCCTGTACTGCAGGATTATTTCCACATACTTCTCTCTGCTGGCAGAGGCCCATCCAGTTTGACACAGTCAAGGTTGCAGTCATTTCATTTCAGCAAACATTTCTCTCTGCTTTTCTGTCAAACTAAATTCTTCTAAAGTAAAATCCAGACTCTGCGAGTCATGTCGGTGTCAAGAGTCTGTTGTTTGCATTGCTAGCTTTGCATGCACGCCAATATTTTTGATGTCACCACAATAGACAATATTACACGCCATAAAGGTCTGACGACATGACTCATCAAGCCCCAGCTAAATTTCTACAAATGAACTACTCTGTTATCGGTATAGCCTTGGTTTAATCATACAGTGTTATGTTTCTCTTTTGCCAATACAGAGTTTATATAACTACTGACACTGACGAACTGGACGATCCCGTAACCTATTACTGACACTGACGAACTGGACGATCCCTGTTTCAATTAGTCCAGTCTATTCAGAAGTGTACAGTTTTACCATTTTAAACTCAAATGAGACAAGAGACACAACTATTATCAGAAATATATTAAAACAATGACACTTTTGTCATTGTCATTTCACTTTGTTGAAAAGGTTGATCACAATAAATCCCTCCAGGGTCTTGAAACTTTTTCTCTGTACATGATACAACCTCCTTTGATGCAGTGGTGAACTGTACCATAACATAATTTACTAACGTAGAGCTAGACATACCAGATATTCAATACCATGTTTTTTTATAGCTCTGCATTAAAGCTTCAAGGTGATGCATTCAGCAGCAGCTTCTGTCCTGGCTGTGTGCTGAGGCTACTCTGGCTAAACTAAACAACAACCCATTATTCCAGGGAACATGATTCCTTTGGTTGATGCTCTTTTTCTACAAATGTCCATCATGAATTCTTGAAAAAAAGGATGGAGTAACAATGGTGTGGTTTTTCATTTCCTGTAATATTAAGGTCTTTGGAAACATTTCAAAAACTCATTATCCATTCCAACACTTCAGGGACCAAAACATTTGAAATAATTTAGAGTGACTTTCACGTGAAGATCGAGGACCCATTTTTCCCACCTTTCTAAACAACTACACAACAATCCCAAACCTAAACAAATCCCTTAAAATCTGAAATAGGGACAGACATATTTGAAGCGAGTGAAAAACAGGATGCCCTTGAGAACAGGACACTCCACCCCACAAGGCCTGAATAAATATTTGTGTGAAAGCAGAGGGGCGGAGGAGAGAGCAGAGACAATCACAGGGACGACACAATGGGGAGTAAAAGTACAAAAGGTCTGCGCTGATGTGGGGTTGTACGACCGAAGGCAAATGACCAGCATTTAGTGTCAGCCACTAACTCTGGTACGGAGTGTGTGCCAATTATTCCGTACGACGTTTGTAGTTACACATGTGGTGGATGTAATTATGTAAGTTAAAAACAACCCACAATTCAAACAAAAACAAACAGTGAAAAATGGTTTTGAATAATCCTTTCTTGAATAGGGCTAACGGTGCATTTAAATTTGTCAAACAATAGGAAGGTCACTAGTTCATGTCCCCAGCTTTGACGTGAAACATATGGAGTCTGGATGTTTCCCCTTTGTGTGTATGTGTGTTTCGAGGGATCAGTAATACTCGGGTTTCTATCAATGGTAGAACATTTTTTTAATTTAAAAACTGATTAAGTAGAAGCTCTAAATTAACCGTAGATGTTGGTGGTATGATGGTGGGGCGTGGCCCTGTGAAGGAGCAATTACACAAAGTAGCCTTTTGGTGCTCTTTGTGTGTTCTCAAAGGAACTGGAATGAGACGGTGTTGATTTAGCACAGCTACTGTGTGTACTTCAGATTACGCTTCATTCTGAATCAGCCAATAAGATCTTGATCTTACAATGAGCATTAGCAATTAGCATTAGCACAGGTATTACTTATACTGATGCTGATTTACAATGGATGACATCTTAGATGTTACATATAATGAGGCGTGTCCCGAAAACCTAAAATCTAAACAGAGAAAACATTTTTGGATCCTGTCATTTGATTGTCATAAGTTTCTAAAATCTTGTAATTTGGTGGCTACAAAAGGAAGCTCCATTTTGCTTCAGTGTATTTTAGACCCTGTCCCCAAAGACTGCAGCAGTTTAATTGCATTTGAAATCTTTGCTGGGAAATTATTATTCATTCAAGTCCTAGCAGAGCCCTGGGGTGAACGGCATTGATGCTCCAAAGTGCTAAAATAAATCCCACGTTGAGGCTTCTCAGGATGCCGGGGGAGGGTGAAGCATTTCTCACAGCGGTGGAGTAGATGGCACAAGACAGAGCAAAGGAGCCAGAGGAGTGAAGGAGTGTGGGTCGGCCCCTGAGACGCACTGAGTGGATGTGGAATGACAGCACAAGCCCAATTAGTCTTGGATGCCAGGGCGGCTACAGGGAGGTCGGCGCAAGTGATCAAGCCATTCATGCATTCAAGCAGTTGCCCACAGGCGTTCTTAGCCGACAGCCTGGGTAAAGTTACTCTATTACTGCTTCTTTTGGACTAATGAACACTCACATGAAGACGGATCTCACACCAACCCTCCCCGACTTCCTTCCTCTCTTTCCTGCGACATTCTCCTCAACTTTTACAGCCGTGTCCCATCCCTATTGTTTCCCTCTTTATCGTGCCGTTCCTCAGTTCCCTTTCATATTCGCCTCTTATATATTTGGTATTTTCACTCACCAACAACGTGTTCACTCTTAATGTTATTACTGCACTTGTCTTAAAACCCTGCCCATCAAACACTGCCACTCCTCCGCACTCTACACCCTCCTACTTCCAAAAAATCGTATTACCTCATCCCACTCGGAGGCAAAGGCAGACATACGCTGCGTGGAAGTCTTCCCAGAGCTGCAGTTGGACACTGACCCACTGCGGGCAGCCAGACCTCCATCCTCGTCTGCGCTGGGCGATGCCAACAAGTCAGAGTCGGACTTGGACAGACTCCGTACCAGCCCCAGGTCTGTAGGTCTGACTTTGACCAGTGTAGCTGACGCAGGCTGGTCTGAGGCGGTTTTCAAGTCCTTGTGATTCAGGATCGACCTGTCAGACGTGCACTGTGCCATCGTTCTGGAGTTTGAAGAAGAGCCTAGGATCCACAGACTTGTTTATCCAATCCAAGGAGTGATTTCAGATCTTTGCGGAGCTTTAAAACCTGTGCCAGAGAAAAACAAAATCCATTCATCAGTTGTTCCAAAAGGAAAACAATGATGAAAAGTAAGAATTGACTGTTAGAAGAAAAAAAAATCTCTGTGGAGTCCAGGCTTAGGCTCAGGCAACGCGCTCTGTTTGGAAAGGAAAAGAAGGATTTATTAAATGAGAAACTTGCACAGAAACAGGGTCCACCCACTGGTTGCATCCTGTTGCCCTGTGTGTTCAACTGCCCCTCGGAGCCACAGAGTCCTTCCGTTATTATTCTGTTGGGATTAGCTAGTTGAGTGATATATACTTTTTACATGAGAAGTTCTTTAGAAAAACAAAACAAAACATGGAAATCTAAGCTTTAACTCAACAGTAAAATAAAAAATAATACTTTACAAAAGGCAGAAAACATTTTTCACTTACAGACAATCTTTCTGAAATACATCCCACTCTATGGCAACCAGATTAATCTAAATGTATGTAGCTCTGGGTCTGCTGCCTTCACTTGTCTCCGTCCTGTTCCGGACCTTTCCCAGACCCATAGCGAGAATCCAGGAACTGGAGAATTTAAAGCCTGGACTTCAGTCAGACTGACAGTTGGGGTAATCAGGTCACTGACACACTGGCTGGATGCGCCACTTAAAAGAGATGGAGAGAACAGAGCACCTCCTTCTCTGTTAGTGTAGACTTCATCTGGACTCTTGGCTAACATTCACAGTCCACAGATTTGTTACACTGATAGCATCAAAAATATAAACTTGTCTCAACAAATTGTTATCAAAATTTAACCAAAAGACTTGTAGCGTACTTGATGTTCTAACACAGTAAACTGTTCTTCTACAGCAGGTGGTTAATATGTAATAAAGTGGCAAATAATTTATGGTAAAAAAAAAAAAATCACTTCAGTGGCAAAACATTGATTCTGATGCCAAATCAACAGAGCTCGAGGGTTTTCTCAAATATTCTGTGATTTATTATGTTTTTAAATATTTAACAAATGCCATAAAAAGTTTAGAGTTTGAATTCTTGGAGTTAGAGTGACTGAGTATATACTGTATACTGTATATTCTGCGTCTGGAGACGTGCAGCCTTTTAAAATATATATGTGGAGTTTAAGTGTAGGTGACATGGCAGGAACGTAGAGAAGATCTCAGACACTTTATGCCATTCATGACTCGTCAAAAGGACGTGAGGCCGACAATGGGGTCTCCTGTGAGGCCGCCTTAATATTCACAGGGAGCATGGCAGTTGCTGAGCTTCTCTGCGCCCTAATCATCCATGTTCTCTGCATGCACACCTCTTCCCTCCCTGTAGGCAGCGCTTGTGTGTGCACGACAAAAGATAACATCCCTCGCACATCCCTCGCTGAGGGAGAGTTCACACAGTGGTGTGATGCTAAGCTGGCAATCACAGAAGCAACATCTAATGATCTCCATGACTGTGACCAGGATGAAACGGTTGATGGTATCTGCCTGTTTTGCGCCATTTAAACAATGGAGACTGTGTTTTCCAGCGTGTTTCAGGATAATGATGTCTTCATGCTGTATTAGAACGACAAAAATACCCCCTCCACCCCCCACACCCCCGCAACCCCCCGCTTCAGCTGGCTGGCTGCTGAGCCTCGGGTGAAAGACAGTAGTGACTCATGAACACTCTTTTCTAGTCACAGAAAATACAGCAGTGCGCTATTTTAATGCACACAATATACGGTGTGACGTTATAAGTTTCCTGGTCCAAATCTGCCTCTGCACCAGGGATTGGTTGTTTATAAACACTGTTTTTCAGATTATTTTAATACAGAAACTCATTATGAAACACGTGGTGACTCGTGACTATTCTGATCACAAAAAAATAATTATGGGATTAAGACGAACTAAACATTTGATGTTGTGTGTGTACATATTCTTAATCATTAAAAAAAACTGTTTACCTGTTTGTCCCTTGCCTGTAGGGGTCTCTCCATCTTGCTTCCAGTGAAAACAATTGATACAGCACTATGTTTCTAAATGCCCCTCTGGGTGGCAGGAGATGTGGAGGGTTTAAAAAGATCTTCCTTGGCCTTGAATATAAGTGTTTGGGGGGGTGAGTGTAGTCTCTTTTCTTATCTTCTGCAGTCTGCTGTACTTTAATCAAAAGTGGGATGTACAGTAAAGTTTAAGGAATGAGGAGAGGTGGACGAGGATCATTGAAATTCAGAGAGAAGAAAAGGACAAAGGGAATAAGGGAACAAATGATGCAGAAAAGTAAAGAGCGAGAGCAGGTAGCGAGAGGGTGAGAAAGCCGGGTAATTAATCCACAGATAACGCTGATGGTTCACAGGGAGGTCAGTGACGACGCAACATCCTCATAACAGCTGCCCTTGACAAGATCCATATCCTGAGATTCTCCCAGATCTGTTTTAATGATGGTCATGATATTGGCAGCCGTGAATCAATTGGACGTGCCGGACATATTTACAGCTGCGGGAATCATTGTCAAGGAGGTGACGCACTTAAACAATTCACTTTGATAACGCAAGGACACAAAGTGCTTTTAAATATAAATTGGAGTTGGAAAAGTGTGTGTAGACACAATGGACGACGACGGAGGGAAATTATACAGAAGTGACTTTGTGTCTCATCCATTTAAATCAGCGTGTATTTTCATGCGAACGCCCAGATTTACTCACGACTACTGTGTTCTATACTCTAAAACACACCTGGGCAAACTATGGCCTGTGGGCCAGGTACGGCCCGCTGGGCTTTATACTTGGGCCCAACAAACTAGTCTGGTCTTCTGTTTCATGCATTACAACGAATCGACTGTAGGTGGCAGACATCAAATGTTTATTTAAAGTTTAGGTTTATTCTTTTTAACTCAGCTTTCTACGCCTGACCAATACTGAACAAGTCCACACGTCATATATTTAACCTCATCTTGGTTCATGACCCTAAAAGGTTTGCGAACCCCTGCTCTAACAACTTTTCTTCAAAGAATAAAAATGTGCAAAAAAGGCGTTCTGTTTTGTGTCAGATAAACCTTTGAGAGCTGACATGTTCCAATCTGAGCGCAAAGAAAGAAAATGGCAGAGCAGCAGTTTGTGTTTCTGCCAATGTCAATGTCGCTCATTTCCGACAAGAGACGGGTGTTTGTTAAAGACATCATTACATGCGTGAATTGCATGGAAACAAATGACTTTTTTACTCCCTGTTACACCTCGGAGGCTAATTGACTGACTAAACAGAGCAGGGATTTCTGCAGGAGATAAGACGACAGTGACAGTTTCTAATCTGGAAATGATTTGGAACAATTAGAGACAGTTTTGTCAAAGGCCTGGTAAAAACTGCAAATGTAGAAACACCTTTGTTTTGCACATGGTTAGTCACGGAGATAACGCATGGATGAGTGAACGTTCCATCATTGTCATTTTCACAACAGGGATTTTTCTCTTGAAGCTAAAAACGCAGAAATGATCATTTGTTCTAGAATGTTATTTTATTCAAGAGTTTCATCTGTGGGCCATGAAATTAGTTTTTTGCATTAATCATGATTAATCGTGATTGATGATGGATAATACACTGCTCTGTGATTTAAAAAAACTCAAAAAGTGTATCATTTTATTTTACTAGTATTAACTGTAATGCACAAGTGTGCATAGTAGCATAGTAACATGCTAATAATATCTGCAGATAATGTTGGCCACAGTGGGAGATGCAGAGACTTCTCCCAGTCTTTCAGCCCATCTTTACTGCATCACTCACACCATGGTTTGATGGGTGGTCAATTTTTTTGGAGTCCTTTAATGAATTTCTCTGTCTTCTACATTGGAAACAACATTCCTATTTAGCATAAATTCCTGATTCTTATTATCCTTTATGTGCCTGAAACATCTTCATCTTTTTCTCCTACAAACGGAATCCATGCACGGCTACAACAAGCACTTCTGCTGCTCTAGGCAAAAATCAATTATACTGCACCATTTGCGATGTAACATACCAAGACCAAGGCCAATGTTCCACACTGGAAGCAAAAAACAACATGACACACAAGGTCATTTTGAACTTTTCATTTTAAAGCATTTATATATTTATCCAGTTGAATTCATTTGTTGTTGATTTTAATTTGTTGTTTGTTTATCCTTGGTCCATTACTGTTTTTTCTTTGCAATCAGAGATAGTATCCAATATCACCGGGTAAAGCCAAGTGCCATTGGTTTGATATGAATAAAGTGTGTGCGCCATAATAATGACCAGGATGTGAACCAGAGGAATTAATGTTAGCTTTTCCTCAGTGGTTGTGACGTAGAACTTTTGTAATTGGTCTAGATTTTTTGGTTACTGCTGGAGACGCTCAGACAGACTGTTCCTTCAGACAGACTTGCCTTAAATCCACAGGAACACTGCCCTGTTTGCTGTGTTCCCCACATTTATTTCAGTTTTCTTCAGGGTTTTTTGCAGAGTGTCATTGGAGTTCCCTGTTCATAGCCAATCATTAAATTTAAGATGTGGTCATAAAACTGCTGCTACTGTTAACCAGCCACTGTGGTTGGTGTTTAACCCTGCGTTGTTCAGAAAAAAGAACCCGGCCGGCTTAGCAGGATAGGAAATAATAACCTGGGTCTTCTTTGACTTTTGACTATATTTAACAATACTTAACATTACCTTAATAATAAACACAGAGTTTAGACAGAAATGCTTGCACTAAAAATGATAATAATCAAAGGAAAATACTACAATGAAGCAGAAAAACTAATCCGTCATGTACTGGAACAACCAGTAGTGGGCACTCTCCTCACCATTGTCATTGCACCCATTTGAATATCATTGCAACAGATTCAAAACGAACAGTAACAATACCATTTTTGACCCTCTTGTTGACGAGTTTTATTTTTTACAACATACTCCTAAGGTGCCCCTGGGCAGTACACTGGTGACCCCTGCCCTCTGGTCTATTTATTAGTTTTTAAACTATATATAAAAACTACCCCTTTCTAATTAACACTAAATTGCAACTGAATTTTTTTTTCATAGTTTCACTTTTTATTTACAACAGTTGAACTGTTGATACTAAGTTTCTCTAGTTAAATTATTGCCACTCACTGGGGGGAGAAATTATTGGTTCGCTCCATTAAGAGCATTTTGAGAAAAGTTAGAGGCAACTACACTGTGTAGAAGCTATGTAGAAAATATACCCTAATTAGAATGAACTCTGACGATAACTACAGGCATACAGGGTTGAGTGTAGAACAGGAGTTTGTCAGGTTTTAGAATGAATCTAACATTTTTTACAGTGATTTAAAATATTGCAAAAGTATTGAAGAAATATTAGGTACACTGACCACAAATGGCTCAGAAAAAAGATATAAAAAACCCAGATAAATGTAAGCGAGGGTTAGGGAGGAATGTAAAACTGCAGTATTGTGAATAAATCATAAGACATGTAGGGAGCTTCATGTGTAAAAAAGCCACTGGAGGCCACTTGTGCCCAGGCGCTCGTGTGTCAGATGTAACTGATAAGTGTGTGATAAGAGCCGGCAGCCACTGAAGCAAAAGCAGGTCAAATGCAGAAAACAGTCCAAGTGAAAATGCACGGATGAGTTCCATGTGGAGCTGTTACTGTCACTGTTACTGTTACTGTTACTGTTACTGGGCGTCAGTGATTCTCATCACTGCAGGACGAATGTATTGTGTTTTTGAAGGACTCTTTTATTCCTGTCGTACAGCCTAAGAGGGGCAAATATAAACACTACAGATGAATCGATACAAAAACTGGTATCAATCTGGAGCCTGACCTTTGAGTCTAGTACTTCATTATTTTCCAAAGCAGGCTCCTTGGCGCCGACTACACTAGTGTCTCTTGAGCCGTGGTGTCTTTGTGTGGACAGCATACAGTAGAGCTCAGATATTTTACAGTGATTTCAGCTGGCCACAGCCTCAGAGGGTTTTCACCAGGCGGTACAAAGACATTTTACTGCAAAGTGGGGCAGATAACGATTTCATGTTCACTCAGTGTGTGTGCAAATGGCTGCAAAATGTCAACATTTAGACCTGGAGGTGATGTCACGATGCAATAACTGATCTTTGGCACGGACATTACAGTACGGCGAAGATTACTCCTCTCTGTCAGTGTACTACTGTGTGTGTGTGTCAGTGAAACTAAATTAAAGGAGCATGAAACAAAATTCTTGTTTGTCACTAAAAAGTCTAATCTAATCCAATTAGCCATGAATTGATAGTTTTGATGCCATTCAAATACTAAATACTACATTTTATTAAAAGGAGTTTCTTTCATTTTTCCACTTCCACTAAATCCTGTTACACACAACCTGAACACTTCTCCAGTCCACACCAGGGCCACACACACACACACATACACACACACACTTTTGGTTCATTAAGAAGAAACGCTACTCCTGCACATTTTTGGACTTTGGGGTGAAACATGGAACATGCTAACTCCACACCGGAAGACCATCAGTTACCACCAGGGAATTGAACCAGAGGTTTTTCCTGCCCATGGGCCAAAACAACATTTTCTCTCTCCATGTGAAAATGAACGTTGTCCTTGTAAACATCTGCAGTTGTGTAAGTGGGAGATTAACTCTCACATCTGTGTCAGGCTGCAGGTCCATGGGAGCCCCTGCTGGCCAAAACATCCCACCTTTAAAACAGGCAGATACAAGACTGTGCCCCCTGAAGCCAAGGAAAATGGATATTGATCTTGAGCCATGACTAAATGGATTAAATTACAGGATAGTAGTGTAGCAGGGGCACCTCAGGAGGAGGGGGAGGAGCTGAGGTAGAACAGCGATGGGGTAAGGAAGATAAAAGAGTGGGAAAAGGGGAAATGGAAAGTGTTTGGAAAAAAACTCAATGTTTACCTTGCAAACTGTCTTTTTATTCTCACCAATTATTTTAATTATTGCTGAAAACGCAGCTTCTTCCATCTTTGTGACGTAAAGCCTAGAATCCTCTCAGTCTCATGGGCCCACTGGCTCTAGAGAAATCGTCAGACAGGAGGATTATCTGTTTTCATTCTTCTCTGGCTGTTGAGTGTTAAGAATTCCAAAATGCACAGTGGATAGAAAAGAGCATAAATCATCATGAAAACAGAGTCTAACAAGATCCATCAGTGAGCATTAATCTGCGTCGGCCATGGTCGGATGTCCATCACAGTCCGACCTGTGTGGTGCAAACAGATAATCAATCAGTGCAGTCCTCCTAATGCACCTCTCCTTCTTGGCCTGGTTGATGGAGGGGCAGCGGTGAAGCAGAGAACGACTCAGTGAGAGCCTCTTCCTTTGAGCCCTGGCAGTTGATATTCAGGACATTAATGCGTTCACTTGTATGACAGGAATATCAAAGAGGTCTGCAGGCACTGCACTCCTAAAAAAGAACTTCCATTATCAGCAGTGCAGCCTGACTCTATGACATCCTCAACAGACTTTCACAAACATAAAACTCAAAGACAGAATGAGAGGGGATCTTTGCATTGTGCATTTGTAAACATTTGTCACTCATGTCACAAATCATGTCTTACACACACACACACACACACACACACATTGTTCTTTAGGTTGTGTTGCATTATGCACCATTGTTGTTTAGGGTACAGTACACCCTGTATCTGGTCACGTTTTCTCATTCAAAAGAAAGTAATTTTTGGAAGTGTATCTAAAGCTAAATCAACAGTGACTCATTGTTAGGTTGTGTTATGTAACAGTGTGCTTTTGAGCAACTACTGAAGAAAATGTGGGAAAATTTGTATTTATTTTAATTATGAAACCCATGCCGCTAATCTGAAGAGCTGCTAAAACCAAGTTTCATTGTTTGTTAGCAATAACAATGATCAATAGCAACAAGAAAGCAGGATTTTCATGCATCAGTGTCAGTGTTTTTGTTTATTTTTGCAAAAATTCTTATAATTGAAATTAATAATTTGTCATTTTAGTATGTGTTTGTGTACTGTTATTTTCTCATGCTCCTTGAATGGCGACCCACAGTGTTAGACTTTAAAAATCACCTGTTATTATTATAATAGGTCTCATGTGAACAGTGCTGACCATGTTTTATACATTAACTTTTCTTTACTTACTACAACCATCTCCATGTCGGCCCTGCACTACATTTCACTACGACACTTTTATGATGTTCATTCATATCCTTTTTTTAAAAAAAAAATTCAAACTCACTGCTTCTCTGTACTTCTCTTTCAATCCGTGTCACAGCTTTATTAATTATTTATTCCTGATTGCAGATGATACGGGTTTCTGATATATACATAAAAAGTGCATTAACACATATAACTTAGTCCTGCGTCAATGACGTGAAGCACATTTCCAGGAACTTTTCCCATGGTACCACCATGGGCTTGTGTGTCAATGACAGTGTAATGGTGACTTTTGAGAAGTCTGGTTTCTTAATAAATGACTTACATGTACAGGATTCTTCTGATGCAACACTAAACCCATGTGGATTGTTTATTTAAAGTGTTTATACAACTAAAATATGTACCTATTTTAATAATAAAGGTACAGAAATACCCTATATTAATTCGAGACAGAAATACAGATAACCTTTGTAAACATCATTTCCATGTACTGGTTGTGATTACGATGGGTTGCGACTCTTTGGCTCCCTCTGTTGAACATATTTATAATTGCAGGCAACGTTTTATAATGTCTCTGCAAAGGTTTTTGATGAAGCTGTAATAAAACCTTACTATTCATAATGCATTGTGGTCGCACACGAAGATAATGACTCACACATTCTTATGTAATTGTTTGCTTGTTCGTTTTTTCAAACATACCTGAGTGATTGAAATGCTAACGACATAGTCGACCTACTCATGTGTCCACTGAAACACATCCAGCTGCTGTGACGCCTGCACCCTGTAGAGGTCGATGATTAAATGAGGCTGCCTGCAAAGTTCCGCAGCCTATCAAAGGGCTAACACGCAGGACAAACACATTTACACCTTCAAACAGACAGAATATGTCAGATGCATTAGATCAAGAAAAACCCACCAGGGCTCAGTGTTGTTTTAAAGAGGGCCGAATTGCAGCAGTGAAATAATTGCCAATCTCAACACTAACATTGTCGTGGCTAACCTTAGCTCTGCTGTGTGCTAACTGCAGTGGTCTGAAAGCAGTTGCACAAATTTGTGTCATTGGAAAGTCAGTTTCAATGAAACTTTTGGTGCTGACATCAATCAATACGCCCTGAGCATCTCTTTCTGACAGGCAAACAAACTGGCTCTTATGCATACGTTTTTCAACTTTTACCTATTTTTCTGCCTATAACGACAGAATCAATAATCCTGTTCTATCATTAGTTTACATGTAATATTACAACTGCCACTAAGTTACAGAGACATAACTATTTTATTCTTCAGCATCTGACAATAAATTCAAGTCTGTGAAGTAGTAAATGCAACTGCATAACTACTTCAAGTGTGACTTGTCAAAACACTATTAAAATAACACTCAAACATTCAGTTATGGATTTGTTGTTTTATTTCTCAAAGCAGTTAAAAAACATGTGAAATCTAAAACAAAGACAAATATTGCCACAAACAATGACATGTGAAAAAAAGATCTTCAAACATATGGTCAACAGTATTTCAAGATGTCTTGATCTTGACACAAACACAAAGTATGTGTGTGTTTGTTTAACAGGACTAAAATCATCATGTAATGAAATTGTAATAAATACCGAGGAGTAAACAGAAAATTATGTAAATGTACAAAAAAAAGAGGGAGTTACTCCTGGAATTTAAATTTAATGGCTGAATAAAGTACACTAAAAATGTCATGTGGACAAATCCGATCGTTGAATAGAGAATCTGGGCCAGACTGTAACTTTTCAAAACAACTGAAGACATAGAAAATGAAGGCGGTCTTATCTGTCGGGACGCATCATGCCAGGCCTGACTGGCATCATCATTGGCCGAGGATGACGCATCATGTGTGGTGGTCCAGGCATCATCTGCATAGGTCCCCCCATTGGTGGCCTCATGCCTAATGCAATGGACAGGGAACATAAAAAGTTAACACAGAGACAGTGAGATAATCAGGGACTAAAGGACACAAAGCTAGTGGCCTAAGCTAATGGACTATTCTCTTAAAAAGTAAATTAACACAAATTTACCATTAAGAAAAAATGTATTACTGACATTTAACTTGATCCTTATTAGTCTGGAGTTTATTTAAGCAAAGACTGAATGGTAAAATAAAAACATGCTTACCTGGTCCTGGTCCAGGCATCATTCCATGTGGTGGAGGCCCCATCATTGGCATCATTGGAGGACCTCCCATAGGGGGCGTTGGTAGCATGCCTGGACGAGGAGGACCACCTGCATAACACAAATTAAAGTTAGCATATTACCTTTAAGTCGTGTGTACAACAATACAGAACAATACAGAGTCTTAAAATCAAATGTCAGAAAAGCTAGAAATGTTAAGGTTTTCTTACCAGGAGGTGGAGGTCCACCAGGGAAAGGGGTAGGTGGGATCTTTCCTTGTTGAAACGCTGCCGCTGTTTGGCAAGCAAAGGCAAACATTACATCAAAAGCACTCCCTTAAAATGCATTCAGCTGAGCACCCTACATAGCAGTGCAATATATATACATTTTCCAGTTGAGGTCACTTTTGCATAACCTTTAAATATGAGCAGGATCAAAAGATTGGATTTTTTTAAGTTTATGTCTATAGAAGAGATACCTTGATAACCAGTGTTTTTGTCTCATATTTTTATTTTTCACATTCCTTTGTTTTCAAATAACCAAGATGATGGTTTTCTTACTTGTTTTATCGATCAGACTTTGAGCTTGCTCCTCCATCCATTTCTGATAGTAGTCTTTGACATTTTCCTTGTGTTTACGGCCACTGCAGTGGGTTTTCCTCACCGACGGCTAAAGGAAGTACAGACGACATTAATTAATACTCGTAAAGAATAGACACCTTTTATACTTTAAAGAGTAACACAGAACACTTACCGAATCGTGTGTAAGGTAGGTGTCACAGTAATCACAGTAAAACCTGTAGAATGTTACAATTGAAGAGTTAGAAATGTGTGGAAAACGCTGAGCATTATAAAAAAAATAATACAGGCCACACGTTATTAATACAGATATTTGAAAAATAAAATAAACAATTAGCATTTGATTTAAACAAAGAAGCAAGTACTAACCATGAACTACTATTTTATTCATGAAAGTACAAATGTAAAAACCTGTAACTAATTTGTTCTTTTTAAAGAAATACCAACATTTTAATACATAGTATTTGGAAAAATACATTGTTACCCACATGCTCTGTGGGAGAAGGATTAAGCGTGGTATCAATTTAAGACTGCGTGAGGATACTGTTTTTAGGAAATGCATTAAAAAAACGAGTATGTTCCTAGAACAATCTATCGCTTACATGTCGTAAAAGACATGGTTAAAGTTGTGAGGGGTCAACAGCATTATTGGCTGATTTAAACAAATTAATTTTTGTAGTAAAACACATTTTACTACAAAGTGATACCCTTTCTGAGCCGTGCATAAAAAGGCAATCTTGGTCTGCCTGCTTTGTGAGCTTTATTCCAGATCGTAGACGGAGCCGGAACAAAGCTCAAGCCATACCCGCCTTTTCCATCATAGAAATGTGGGCAGTTTCACATGATAAAACGTAGACAACCTGTTGTGTATAATTTGCTAGTTCAAACCAAGCAACAACAATCGATCATTTTTAATACAGTTTCAACTTACTTCGGCATGATTCGGCGGTAGCTCGTATGAGCACGGGACACCGGTGTTACCAGTTAAGTGTGATTTCCGGTGGTGAGAGCAACACACACATAGTTCCGCCTATCAGCAGAACTATACATTTCCGTTCCTAGTCTATTTAAATATAATAATAATAATAATAATAATAAATATATTTGAACGAAAATGAAGAGAACGTTGTCAAATCACAGAGTACTGTGTAGAGTTTATACTCTATAACTAAATGTGTTATTGTCATTAGTATCTGTTGATAAGGTATAATTTTACTGTAAATAGCAGTGACACAGCCACTCACTCCTTTTTTATGATTAAAAGTTAATTGGTGCATTATCTCAGTAGCTTAATGTTGGGTGTTGGGTGGTTTCTGTTGTTTATTTTGACTTTTAACTATATAATGCATATAATGAATATGTGTATTTTGCCACATACAGTATCTTTGGAATCTGTGAAGTCTCGTCTTTCATTTGAGGTTATGTTGTGCCATCAGAAAATAGTAGCAGTGGCGGAGACAGAAATCTGGCAAGTGGGTTGACATTGGTGTTCAATGGAGTTTGATAGTTTATAGATCGAAGAGTTTTTTTATTACACACACAGTTATACAAAGAAAATGCAGTGAAATTTGTTTTTGTACCTGCATAAATGTCAGAGAAGATATATAAGAAATCAATATGAAATATATAATCAAAAAAAAAATAAAATCAAAAAATGATAAAAGAATAAAATGAATATACTGTATATTTACTATTAAATATATATACATGTATACAGACATTAGGCTTTAATTTTGGGAAACTCAAATCCTAGGGTAATGTAGTACAATCCTGAGGACCAGTATGGGAGACTAGTAAGTGTCAAGGATTGTTGGGCCAATGAAAACCAGGGAAAATCTGCTGTTTTATGCTGAAGTCAACAGTAAGGTCGACTTTAGCATAAACATTGTCTTGTTAATGTTCAG